TATCTGTGCGTTAGTTTATTGAGCCTTTTCTTTTAACAGTTTTAAATTTCAGTTACTGTGCGCGTGAAGAACAATTCATAGTGCTCTGTACTCCAGTGTAGTGAACCTCTAACAGACACCCGGTAGAAAGTAACAGGATTTAGAATTAGCACTAAACTCCAGCAAGATAAAGTCCTTCTATGAAAAAACGCTGATGTTTATCTACAGATCAAGTATAATAATAGGAACATTGCATCATCCTAGAGAGAGTTTCGTCGTCTTGACTGTTGTAACTGAAAGCGACACGCAGTTTGAATGCTGAATGGAGGTTTATGCGAACTTGAATTTAATGACTTAAATATTCATCTGTACCTCACATTAAACTATGGAACGGTCTCAGAACACTTGAAATATAGTGCACGGAAACTTTATGGTGCTTTATAATGTTTTTGTGCCTTTCGTGGGGCTTAACAATAACACAGAATAGTATAGCACTATATCGGATTTGGATCAGTCTCGTCTGACCGATACCCCGATCCAGCAGAAAATGCCAGTATCGAAGCGATACCGATCCTGAATATCGGATCGGCGCACCCCTAATATTTAGTTTGCCCGATTATTGGTGGGTAAGCAAAGATCCTTTGGCCTTCCTTTCTCAGGTATGTTCAAATGGGATTCAGTCAACTCCTCTGAACCTTGTGGTGTACTGGAAATGCACTCCTAGTACTACAGACCTGCGAGTGGACTACCGATACAACCCAGAGTCCATGCAGCCCCCCGCAGCTCTCACCAATTTACAGATGTTAGTGCCCGTCAATGGAGGCGTCACAAACATGCAGTCACTTCCCAATGCCATCTGGTGAGTTGGAGGGAGTAGGCACACAAATATACAAACACACAATTTATCTTGTGATAAAAACACTGCTGTATGGACCTGATCACTGTAATATTTAAGTTCTATACATAATATACACTAACGTTTAAAAGTTTGGGGTTGGTAATTTTTAAAAATATTTTTAAAAGAAGTCTCTTATGTTCAAAGAGGCTGCATTTATTTTATAAAAAATTCTGTAAAAACTAATATTGTACAATATTTTCAAATTTTTTAAATAACTTTTTTATTTCAAATTTTCAGATGTAATTTATTACTGTGATGGCAAAGCTAAATTTTCAGCATCATTACTCCAGTCATCAGTGTCACATGATCCTTCAGAAATCATTCTAATTAGTGGTCGACCGATGTGGGTTTTTTGACAGCCAATGCGGATATCTTGGAAAACAGGGTGGCCGATGGTCGATATAAAGCCGATATAATTTTATTTATTTTAATTTATATTTAAGAAATTTGAAATAATTTGAAAATGGATTAAAAATAATTGTGTAAAATAAACATACTTATACTTTACAAGACAAAGCATTTTTCACAAATAAATAAATATTTAATAAAAAATCGAATTAAAAAGGAAGTAAACACTAACACTGTAACCAACAGGGCACTTAGTATTCCGTTTGTGAGCATTGGAAATAATATTATTATTATTATTATTTTTCAAATAAAGCCAAGGTAACACTCATTTTACATATAGCACGCAATGAAAATGACATGAATATGACAGTGGGCAAATGCATAATGTGCAGCATAATTTGAAATCACTAGTTTGTCGACCGTGCGTCTCCAGTCAAGCAGAACTCTCGAAGGGTCGTATTATGAAAAATGTAATTTTCCATGATCATTAGAAATAAAAGGTTATTGTAGTCATTTTCAAAACTTCCTTCCCAGTTTTTTTTTTAACACCTCATTCTGTACTTCTGGGGCAGTTAAAAACTATTTTGTATTTAATAGCAGACTCTCAGCTTGTGAGTAAGTGCACAATAGTATTGTTTCTCATTTCCCATAGGAATTTTGTAGACCAATTAAAATATCAATGCAAAAAGGTCAAAAATTGTTTTCAGAAAGCTGTTATTCAGCAGTTACCGCAGTGCATTTTCTACATTATGTTGTAGAGATTAAAAGATCATCTGGCACAGAGTATTTCGGTATTGACTATGTTTGTATGTGTCAGGCTCTGGTTCTTTGAGAGCAAAGTTTGAGCTGTCTGATGGTCCATCCATCCCTGCCACCCTGGCTGTTCAGTTCTTCAGTGAAGGCAGCACTCTGTCTGGTGTAGATGTGGAACTGGTTGGCTCCGGTTACCGACTCTCCCTCAATAAGAAGAGATTTGCCACTGGTAAGAATGATTTTAGACTTCACCAGTTACACTATCAATAGAAGATTTAATGATTTAAGATCATAATGTTATTATAACAGCTTATCCTTCAATGCATTCTCAACATATGCATGAGCATGTAGTTTTGTCTTTGAAATGAGTTGACAGGAGATGCGTGTTTGTGAACATTCACAGGGCGCTATATGGCTGACTGCTGAGATCTGAGTAGAGGCCTGTCCGCTCTCAAATGCAGGGAACCTGGAGGTTCATTTCTGTTCATTCATTAATTCTGTCACTGCTTCTCAATGAAAGTTATGGAGGATCATTAGGGGGGATGGGAAAAGAGAGCTGTCTGCGTGAAGGCCTCTCATGCTTCTGTTTTCTCTCCACATTGTGAACGATCCAGTTCCAGTGAATCACCTTCTGGAGACTCGAGATTTTTATACTACAGTAACGTAGCACTGAGTATCAAACACTGTGTACAAAGAAAAAAGAAAAAAAAGAAAAGAAAAAAGAAGGAATGTCAGGATATTGGTGAATGAAATCATTAATCTTTGATACTTTTTGATCAATTCAGACTTTTATAAAGTCAGACTGTTAGTGTTTGTTATTTTGAAATGTATAGTTAACAATTTGCATTATGAATTAGAGGTGTATAAACATATAGCATATCTAAGCAAAAAAAAAAAAAAAGGACAAAAAACCTGCACTAACAATCTTTCTGGAAATTTGTTGAGCATTCATTTCTCCGTTTGAATTCACCCAAATGTCAGTCGCACTGACAATGAAGAGAGAAAAAGGAGCAGCGTTTTTCATTATGAATGTGCAATGAAGGTATAAGCTTTCAAAATTACATTTATGGATTGTTTTTAAATCTGCAAGGTTTGTGAAATTAAATGTTCATTAGTCATTTAAAGATTTGTTTAAATGATATATGCGTATTTGCTGAATGCTGACGGCAAACGAGAAAGTATTATAATGTTTGCCTTTCTATTACTAATAATATTAAAGCAATCGTTATAATACTTTTTTGTATACAATTTAATTCCTTTGTTTAACAGTTCTATCTGATTATTAGATCACTGTCAAAATAAAAGAACACATCGGCCAAACAGAAAAACTTATCGGCCAATGCCGATATTTGAAAAAATTCAAAATATCGGCCGATATATCTATATTTGATATGTTGTTGAATAGAAAGTAAAAAAAAAAAAAAGCATTTATTTGAAAAAATGTAAATGTCTTTACTGTCACTTTTGACCAATTTAATGCACCCTTGCTTAATAAAAGCAATAATTTCTATCAAAAAAGAAAAATAAATCTTACTGACACCAAACTGTTAAACAGCGGTGTATACATAATCATAGAGTCCCTTTAACCACGTGATTGTTACTGTTTTAATTAGGAACGCAGTAAAAGGTTATTGTAGTCATTTTCAAAACTTCCTTCCCAGTTTTTTTTTTAACACCTCATTCTGTACTTCTGGGGCAGTTAAAAACTATTTTGTATTTAATAGCAGACTCTCAGCTTGTGAGTAAGTGCACAATAGTATTGTTTCTCATTTCCCATAGGAATTTTGTAGACCAATTAAAATATCAATGCAAAAAGGTCAAAAATTGTTTTCAGAAAGCTGTTATTCAGCAGTTACCGCAGTGCATTTTCTACATTATGTTGTAGAGATTAAAAGATCATCTGGCACAGAGTATTTCGGTATTGACTATGTTTGTATGTGTCAGGCTCTGGTTCTTTGAGAGCAAAGTTTGAGCTGTCTGATGGTCCATCCATCCCTGCCACCCTGGCTGTTCAGTTCTTCAGTGAAGGCAGCACTCTGTCTGGTGTAGATATGGAACTGGTCGGCTCTGGTTACCGTCTCTCCCTCAATAAGAAGAGATTTGCCACTGGTAAGATTGACTTTAGACTTCACCAAAGCAACATTTACACTTTCACTAGAAGATGTTATGATTCGAGATCATAGTGTTATTATAACAGTTTAGATTTCAACACATTCTCAACATATGCACAAGCATGTAGTTTTGTCGCTGAAACGAGTTGACCAGAGACATGTGTTTGTGTGCATTCACAGGCCGCTATATGGCTGACTGCTGAGATCTGAGCAGAGACCTGTCTGCTCTCAAATGCAGGGAATCTGGAGGTCAATTTCTGTTCATTCATTAATTCTGTCAATGGTTCGCAATGATATTTATGAAGGATCGTTAGGGGGGATGGAAAAAGAGAGCTGTCTGGGTGAAGGCCTCTCATGCTTCTGTTTCCTCTCCACGTTCTGAACGATCCAGTTCCAGTGAAGCACCTTCTGGAGATTCAAGATTTTTATACTATATTAACGTAGCACTGAATACCAAACACTGTGTACAAAGAAAAATAAAAAAAAGAAAAGAAAAAATGAGGAATAACAGGATATTGGCGAATTAAATCATTAATCTTTGATACTTTTCGATCAATTCAGACTTTTATAAAGTCAGAACGGTAGTGTTTGTTATTTTGATATGTATAGTTAACAATTTGTAATATGAATTATATGTGTATAGTACAACATATCTAGGCAAAAAAAAATAACAAAAAAAACTGCACTAACAATCTTTCTGGATATTTGTTGAGCATTCATTTCTCCATTTGTATTCACCCAAATGTCAGTCACAATGACATTGAGGAGAACAAAAGGTGGGAAAAAACCAGGAGAAAAGGAGAGACCAGAGAAAAGCCTCAGCAATAGATCACTTCATTCTCACAAGAAAGCCTTACTTCTTGTCCGTGGTCTTTTCCATAACCGAGCATTGCACATCCGGCTGATAGATTTAGATTCCCCCTCCCCCCCAATTTTTGTTGTTTTCGGTTTCTTTCTTTTTTCTTTTTTTTCAGTTGTATTTTTCCTTATAAATGTGCAATGAAGGTATAAGCTTTCAAAATTACATTTATGGATTGTTTTTAAAGTTTAGTGCCATTTTCACTTTAACATTGTCAAGAGAACCTACTGGTTAGTTGTGTGTCTTGCTTAACAGCAAAAGGAAACTTATACACTGACCTCAGTGCCTCTTTTTTTGTTACTTAAAATAATTATACAGGGCAATTTGCATGTTTAAGTCTAAAAGACCCATGTTTTCCCCTTTTTTATATTATGACCTTTCCTCTTCCTAAATTTTTGAAGTGCCAGTTCAGTTCTTTATGCTTCCTGATTGGGATACTGAAGGGAAAACACTGCCTAAACTTTAACCTTTGTCTTTCAAACCCCTTTAGAGTGCTTTACCCAAACAGTTCAGTGCAAATGAATGTGCTGTTTCCGTTTTAGACGTCATCCAGGTGTTTTCTGTAATGCCTTATAGATGTGTGCCGAAATGATACCAAAATAACCACAGGAAGTTTTCACTGTGAGAAAATTCTAATTACAAACACCGACCTGACCATTTGGGGAGATCCTTGTTGATAAACAGACCAAACTATTGTGAATATTCGCATATCAAGATGAATTACAAGCATGCACACTTTTTAGTGTAGTTGATTAACAACGGACTACCAATTTTTTACATAAGTGTATTTTTAAGGGACACTGTGTGTATATGTTTTCACCAAATGTGCCGTCACGTCTGTTTTTGAGTGTTTAATGTTAATAATAACCTGAACGCATTAGTTTCTTAAAATTATGGCTCAAATGATCTTTTTTGCTTTGAGCAAGTTTGCCAAATACAAATCAAAAAGCACAATGATGCAATGAGCCAGTGGAAGTTTAAATGTGTGCAAGGTCCCACATGAGAGATTTCTTCATTTTGAGATTTTCTTCATTTTGAGATTTTCTTTATTTCTTTTTTTTTTTTTTTGCTGGAACCCAGTGGGTGAGCATTTACAGTGCTTTAAGGGGGTCTGTCCCCCATACAAGGGCTATTTGCCTTGTCCTCTTCAGAGGACCACGTCTCCAAGGGCTACCCCAATCTCAGCGATAGCCAACACCATTTGTAACTTAAAATGAAAAACACTAATAAACACTAAACGCCACCAATGAAGGATGAATCTGAAAACAACGACGTTCTTTAAAATTACGTCTTGGTATCACCAGGAACTTTTTTGTCTCTTCGATAGCAGCCTACCAGTTTTGTGAAGTAACAACATAAAGATTTTATCTTCAGAATCATCACTGTCTTTATGTACCTGTTTTTATATATATATATATATATATATATATTTGTGATTTTAATTCACTTGTATTCAGTATAAAATGTGGTGTTGGTGTCAATACAGAGGCAGAAATCAACTGGTAAACATCCTGGTCAATGTAGCATCCGAATACAATATAATATTGGCTTCTTTAAGTGAATATGAACTAATTGTGTAGTTAGCGAGCTGGTTCTTGCTGCCTCTACAGCCACGTCAATATTCAAAGTCATTTTGGAGCATTTAAAAAGTTTATTCTTTTCTTTCTTTCTTTCTTTAGGAACTTGTTTTTGTCTCTTCAATAGCAGCCTAACAGTTTTGTGAAGTAACACCATAACGATTTTATATTCAGAATCATCACTGTCTTTATGTACTTTTTTAATACTTGTGATTTTGATTCATTTGTATTCAGTATGAAATGTGGTGTTGGTGTCAATACAGAGGCTGAAATCAACTGGAGAACATCCTGGTCAATGTAGCATTCAAATACAATACAATATTGTCTTTTATAGTCAAGTGCTTCTTTAAGTGAATATGAACTAATTGTGTAGTTAGCGAGCTGGTTCTTGCTGCCTCTACAGCCACGTCAATATTCAAAGTCATTTTGGAGCATTTAAAAAGTTTATTCTTTTCTTTCTTTCTTTCTTTCTTTTTATGTCCACATTCAATGGCATGGTAAAACATTTGTGTGATTATTATTTTTTATTTTTTTTACCACCTAATGTAAATTTTTAGAAATATTTCTGCCATGTTTCTCTGCTTTATGATGCTCTGTGTCAGTAATAAATGTGTAATATATAAATCTATACAAATATAAGAAATACTACAGAATGCTAACTTGTCTGTCGTCTTTGTTTGCATAGAGCTATTCAGAAATTAAGCTATACGTTTCCTTCATCAAAAAACAGCTCAATTTCCCATCAGTAATACCTCCTCTTTTGTCACGATTATGGTGAAGAAAATGAGCAGCTTATGACATACGTTTCATCTGAGTCATTTGAGAGAATAGTTGATGTTTGGATTTTTTCCTATATGCACTAATTTGACCAGCTAATATTGACGTTTAACTCCAAATTGAAATCTCACAATGTGTACTGCATTCCCTTAAAAGTAACATGCGTATATTGCGTATATTTACACTCTGACCTCTGGAAGACCTTGTTATGTATATATGATTGTTTACTACTAAATAAACTTTCAATTTATCATTCAGAGCAGGTAACTATTCTGAAGACTGAGTGCTACAGACACAGGCTCTGATTCGTAAACTTGTGAACACTGTTCCTCATAATTTTGGACTGTGCTTCAGCTATTCAGTATTGTTTCCATGTATTTAAGCATTTTTCATGCACTTGATGGTTGATTTCTACTTTGGAAAAGTATGGATAGATTTAACGATAAAGCAATTCAACATTCAGATGTTTACACAGTCATGCTTCTGAACACATCTGCTGCACTTCCACTGCTCCTTGCAAAGTGAAATAAAACTTACCCACATGTGCTAGCCATCCGCTTTCTTATGCACCTAATGT